TTAACTTAAGTTGCATGTCTTTAGACGGTGGAAGGAAACAGGGGAACCCGGGGGAAACCCACATGAGCATGGAAAGAACGTGTAAACTCCGTACAGAAACGTTGGCTGGCTTGGTAAGGACTAGAACCAGTGATGTTCTTGCTGTGAGGCAAAAGTGCTAACCACTGGGCCACCGTGCCACCCATCTAGAAAAAGAGGAGGAGTAGGGGTGGAAGGGGGGATTCTTTAAAACGAAGATGGCTGTTATATGGAATTTTTACATGGGTATGTATAGTAGCTTTAGAATCGTAAATTGAATAATGCAGGACTGGCTGCAAACAATCATAAGCACATGATACTCTCGAAATTAGTTTATAAATAAACTTCACTTAATTTAGATTTTCTGGTTTTTATTTTCTTTTTTTAATTCGATTTTTTTTCCTCAATGTAACTTATTTACTCTTTCTATGCTGCCTCTCGACTGACCTGGGGTCCAATTTTGTTCATGTAACCATGTTGTGAAGAAATAAAAGGCTTATCATCATCATAATTATCATCTTCAATATTCTATTCTTCAATTTTTATTTTTATTTTTAGATAACATTCATCGTAAAAGAGTGATAAGTAAAATCATGCAATGTATTTAGTAAGCTTTGCTGAACTTATTTAAGGTTTGCATCTTCATGTAATGCTAAAAAATGCATTCAAACCTGTTTGCATTTTAACCGACACGATGGGTTCATGGTTAGCACTGTAGCCTCACAACAAGAAGGTCGCTGGTTTGAGTCCCAGCTGAGGCAGTTGCCGTTTCTGTGTGAAGCTGACGTGGGTTTACTCCGGGTGCTTTGGTTTTCCCCACAGTCTAAAGACATGCACTATAGGTAAATTGGGTAAAACAAATTAGTTTATCAGTGCTGGGTTGCTGTCGCTATGTGAAGCTCTGGAATATTCTGGAATAGCTGTTCATTCCGCTGTGGTAACCCCAAGAGTTGTAAATATATATATATATATATATATATATATATATATATATATATATATATATATATATATATATATATATATATATATATATAAAAATATGATTATATGCATAAAACATATGCCACAATAGTTGGTGGTTCATTCCACTGTGGTGACCCCTGATAAATAAGGGACAAAGCGAAGGAAAATGAATGAATGAATATTTACAACCCACTATGTGCATTTATCACCGCTGTCTCCAGTTCAGTTCTATGAGCAGAAAGGTTATCATCTCTGCAGAGAATACCATGGATAAAAAGAGCCCATAATGAAAGCACAGTCAAATGCTCCACGCTCTCGACGTCAGACACTGCAGTACGCGTAACCGTGTGTGTGTGAGTCACGCTTGTTCTTATTCAGCTCTACATGTTCACGCATTGACCCGCAGTCACATTCTCATGCATCATCCTCTCGCGGGGCATTAGCCATGCCATCCTCTTTTGTTTGCAAATCACAAGCCCACATATGCATATTTTCCTTCATCCAGCGAGCGGCAGAATCTGGGTTTGTCATCGGTCAGTGCAGCACATTGTGTCCTCTGCTTATTTCAGTAGGCAGTTCATCAAAAGCCTTCATTCTGAGTCTCGACTCCCAACAAAAGCTGTTGTTTTCTCAATGGAAGAGCTCCCGGACACTCGTTTCATTCATCTTGCTGCTTGTTGCGTTACGTTTTTAGACCTTCTCACTTACATGTGCCTTAAATTGGCTGTGTAGCCGCTAGCCTGCAGAGCTAGCATTACGTAAGCGTGTCACTTCATCCCTTTTTTTCCTCCCTCTCCTTTGTATTCCTTTTTTTCCCACTCTCAGTCACGCACAAATTGTCCTTCTTTATCTATTTAATTTGAATTAAGAGCAATGTAAAAATAACAGCACAATACAAAGAAGAAAAATAAATCGAAACAGATGATGAAACAGATTAAATATGGAGCTCAAAAAGCTTAAAAAAGCTGTATAAGTATTTTAGGGAGTTTGCATGTTCTCCCCGTGTTGGCGTGGGTCTCCCCCGGGTGCTACAGTTTCTCCCAGAGTCCAAAAACATGCGCTATAGGTGAATTGAATAAACTCAATTGGCCGCAGTGTATGGGTTCATGTGAATGTGAGAGTGTTTCCCAGTACTGGGTGTTTTGCTGCTGGAAGGGCATCTGCTATGTAAAATATATGCTGGAATAGTTGGCGGTTCATTCCTCTGTGGCGAAATAAGGGAATAAGCCGAAAGAAAGTGAATGAATTATTTTTACTATTGATAAATGGAGAAAGGGTAGGATAATAAAAGTTTTAAATATAAAGCTTAATGTCTAAACATTTTGAAGAAAAATAAAAGAAATCAAAAATATACAAAGCAGGTGCATAAATAAAGCATCACTCTTTAAAGGAAGAGAATAAACAATTTATAAATGTTGGTTGTTTTCAAAGCCTTTTTAGTGACTGAAGTAGAAATAATCTTAAAATAATGCAGCACTTGAGTAAGAAACATATAAAAACAATACTTCTGGTTTGTAAACTTACTTTTCAGTATATCAGATCTTGTTGATAAAATAAGAAGATTAAAAAATACATTTTCTTTTTTTTTTAATGTAAGAATTCTGTTTTGAAATTATCAAAACATTTTCCCAAAGTAAGGACAAATCTTTATCAATGTTTTCAGATACAAAAAGAGAAAAGTATTTCTACTGTAAGTTAGAATAATTGAATTGCCAGAATAAATAAACAAATCTCTGGGTAATGTTTATTTTAAAACAATGTGCATTTCTTAGTGTGCCTGACACAGTTGAGTGGGCTTGACAAACCACCTGTAGAAAACACACTCTCACTTTTCCAGACACTTGCACCAGTTTAGCACCAGACATTTTCTTACAGTCCCTCCATATCTCTATAAAAACATTACATTTCTGACCGTACCTCACACAGGTGAGTGGGCTTTACAACCCCCCTGTAGAAACACTCTTCTCTACATATAAATGGGATACTTTACTTAAACTCAATCTTACAAGGACTCAATAAGAAAAACAATGTTTACATGGGAATGTACATCAAATCTTGCTGCACTACTTGTTTTCTTAAACTTTAAATATTTCTTTTGCACAATATTGTTCTGTCTTATGTACTTGTACAGTCTGTTAAGTATCTATAGTGTATTTATAATTAGTAGTTAGTATATTTAGATTGACGCTCTGGTATGTTAGTTATGTTTAGGTTGAAAATAGCTCTTGCACTCACCGGCCACTTTATTAGGTACACCTGTCCAGCTGCTTGTTAAAGCAAATTTCTGATCAGCCAATCACATGGCAGCAACTCAATGCATTCAGGCATGAAGACATGGTCAAGACGATCTGCTGCAGTTCCAACAGAGCATCAGAATAGGAAAGAAAGGTGGTTTAAGTAACTTTAAAAGTGGCATGGTTAGTATAGTATAAACTAAGGTGTACCTAATAAAGTGGCCGGTAAATGTATGTCGTGTTGTTGTTTTTTCCGACAATACGCACAAACACCCTTACTCAAGCCAATGAGTGCCAGGTGACATCACAAAGACTTTTCATTTAGCACGCTAGTGGATAATCTGCACCGCACTAGCATCCAGCCCCCTCCATAAGCCGCTGCTGTGTCTGTCAATCTCAGATCAGTAGAGCGGAGGGTTATTGCTGCCGACGCGTCAGTGTGATGCCGCAGACCGCATGATGAATGCTAATGCAGCCAAATCCACTCTGACGTGCCAACATGTGAAGTAGCTCATAATCACAATAGACCCTGATGTCGTAATACTTTGACGATGTGTTTTTTTGCATGAGGTCGATTGGCTTCATGCATCATGAGACACGGTTATGTTTCTTGGTATTATTATATTGGTGCTTTATGATCCCTTGTGACTGGAAAATGCAGTTCTTTGCATGTCATAAGCAGCGTTTGACCTTCAAAATTGATCAGGTTTATTTTAAGACATGTTGCTGTTTTCATTGTGAGAAAACCGTTAAAGAGATAGTTCACTCACCATTTACTCACTCTTAAAGGGATAGTTCACCCAAAAATGAAAATGATGTAATCGTTTACTCATCCTTAACTTGTTCTAAATCTCTGTGAGTTACTTTTTCCTGTTGTGCATAAAGGAAGATATTTAGAAAAATGTTGGAAACCTGTTGACTCCCATAGTATTTAGTAGTCTGGATGTCAATGGTTATAGGCCTTCTAACATTCTTATTAATGTTTTCTTTTGTGTTTAACCGAAAAACAAACACAGAAAGGCTTGGAACCCTTGAAGTTGAGTATATAGTGAGTAAATTTACATTTTAGGCTGAACTATCTCCAAAATGATTATTCATTTATTTTCCTTTGGCTTAGTCCCTTATTTATCAGGGGTCCCCACAGCGGAATAAACCACCAACTATTCCGGCATATGTTTTCACAGCAGATGCCCTTCCAGCTGCAACCCAGTACTGGGAAACACCTATACACATATTCACACACACATATTCATATACTACACCGAATTTAGTAATCCAGTTCACTTATAGCGCATGTGTTTGGATTGTGGGGTAAACTGGAGCACCTGGAGGAAACCCACACCAACACATGGAGAACATGTAAACTCAGAACACACAGAGATGCCAACTGACTCAGCCGGGACTCAAACCAGCACCCTTCTTGTTGTGGGGCGACAGTGCTAACCACTGAGCCACCATGCCGCTCCCAAAAACGATTTCTTTTTTTGGGGGGGCTAAATCCAAAAGAAGATATTTTGAAAAATAAATATAACCAAAACGTGGGTGGTCCCTGTTAATTTCCATAGCAAGGAGTAAATATTGTACTATGGAAGTCAATTGGTGACATAATTGTGATTTTTTTGAAGTACTGTTTCTTTAATGCATTGAATTATTTCAGACCTTTTCATCTAAGCTCACTTACTTTTCACTGAACATCTAAAATGTTTCAGAAAGGTTAAGTGAGTTGCAAATGTCTTTTCATATTATGTTTAACCCTGTTTTTCCTTCTTTTCTGTTGTACAGGAGTCTTCCTCATTCCCTATGTGTTATTCATATTTCTGGGAGGCATTCCGATATTCTTCCTGGAGATTGCGCTGGGACAGTTTATGAAGGCTGGAAGCATCAACGTGTGGAACATTGCCCCTCTTTTTAAAGGTTTGTCTTTTACATTTCGTACTTTAGTTGCACTTAAAACAATGCACGTTCATTCTTTATTTAAAGTAATTAAATATTTAATATTAATAATAATAATTAAATATTTAATAATAATAATTAAATAAATATTTAATAATAATTAAATATTTAATGATAATAATAATAATACGCTGTATGGATACCTGTTATGTTAATGTTCAAAATTAACCTGATTTAACATTCACAAACTGGGATTAAAGCGTCTTTTATAACTGTGCTGACATGCGGCTGTGGTGAAAAATTACAGCGATTTTACCGTCTTTAACTTACTTTATTACAAACATGCACTCTCTTAAAAAAACGTTTTAAACTCATTCTTGATCACGATTGATGATGACTGATGATCAGAGAGAGCTAAACAGATCTGTTAGTCCTGGTTGCTTTGCGCAAGTCCGGTCTTGTTGATATAATTATACTTGTTACTACGGAGACATGTTAATGTGTGTCTGTCAATCAATTAGGTGGGCAGGGAAAAGTTGTGGTGAGCATCAAAATGGGAGGGATTTGGATCTTATTTTAAAGTTAGGACATTTTAAAAAATAGACTTACTGTCTTTATATCACCCCAATATGACTGTGAACACATACTAACACACAGTAGTCCTGTCCAAACAGCTTACAATTTTCATCATAAGTGACCTTTAAATCATAAGCAGTGTATAAATACAGGCATGATAGAACAGGTAAAAAAACCAGGTATAAATGCCTCACCTTAAAATTTCTTACATTATTTAAAACACCAGGCAACTGTAAATGAGACATATTTTAATACAAGTCAATGAGTGGGAGGTTTGAATGTTTAATTGAAGGTGTGTTTTGGTATGCACATTTGTAAAACCGTGACGTACAATTTACCCCATGGCGGTTCTACTGTTGTTGTAAACAACTGTAAATCAAAGCTAACTCTTTTACTGGTATGATTTACCAGTACACAATACTGTACACCTGAAGGGGTTTCGTTTGGTGTGAAAACGAATTTTTGGAATGCCTTTACCTTGAGTAACATTGTCCTTTGCTGGTTTGTTTCAGGACTCGGTTATGCCTCCATGGTGATTGTGTTCTTCTGCAACACGTACTACATTATGGTTTTGGCCTGGGGTTTCTACTACTTTATCAAGTCCTTCAACGCCACACTGCCCTGGTCCACCTGCGACAACCCCTGGAACACAGAGAACTGCATCGAGATCTTCCGGCAGGGTGACTGCAAGAACGGCACAATTGGAAACTCCACATTCGGCAACCTGACGTGCGAAGAGCTTGCTAATGGCCGCTCTCCTATCATTGAATTCTGGGAGTGAGTCTTTTCTCTTGCCATTAATCACAAGCAGGGCCGGTCAGAATCTGCGGGCATTATTTGCTACAACATTTCTGCACAGAACTTTGTAAAAAAATTGTATGCAGAATGATCAGTCTCTCATATAGCATATCTTCTATAATACAGATAATATTACTTTACAAGGGCGAGGCAGTGGCGCAGTAGGTAGTGCTGTCGCCTCACAGCATGAAGGTCGCTGGGTTGCTGGTTCGAACCTCGGCTCAGTTGGTGTTTCTGTGTGGAGTTTGCATGTTCTCCCTGCCTTCGCTTGGGTTTTTTCCAGGTGCTCTGGTTTCCGGTACATGTGGTACAGGTGAATTGGGTAGGCTAAATTGTCCGTAGTGTGTGTGTGTGTGAATGTGTGTGTGTTAATGTTTCCCAGAGATGGGTTGCGGCTGGAAGGGCATCCGCTGCGTAAAAACTTGCTGGATAAGTTGGCGGTTCATTCCGCTGTGGCGACCCAGCATTAATAAAGGGACTAAGCCGACAAGAAAATGAATGAATGAATTACTTTACAAAACTGTATTATACATAAACCAAATAAACGTGCATATTATTTGATAATACTAAATACCGATATAAAAATAGTATATATTGTATACTACATTATATATTTTATGCAGATGAAATCTGAATTATTAGCCCCCCTGTGTATTTTTCCCCAATTTAATAAATTATTTAATAAATTTCTTATAACTGATCTTTAATGATGACAGTACATCATATTTTACTTGACATTTTTCAAGATTAAGCAAGTCTTTGTATAATGATGGTTTGTTCTGTAGACAATCATAAAATTAATGCTTAAGGAGGCTAATAATATTGACCTTAACTGCTTTCATTCTAGCCAAAATAAAGCAAATAAGACTTTCTCCAGAAGAAAAAATATTGTAGGAAATACTGTGAAAAATTCCTTGATATGTCAAACAACGTTTAAGAAATATTTGGAATTAATAATTATAATTCACAGGGAGGTGAATAATTTTGACTTCAACTGTGTATTTTTTGTTACACACATTTACATGAGTAAATAAATAGATTGAATGATGGGAAATTTGCAGAAATCTGTGCACGTAGATTCTGTGTGAGCCCTATCATAACCAATCAACATTTCAAATTGCTTTTATGTAAGAAGCACTAGTGACAAGATTAATGAGTTCAGTTCAGCTTTGTTTGTATAGCGCTTTTACAGTGTAGATTGTGTCAAAGCAGCTTCACATGAATGGTCAAAGTAAATTGGAACAGTGTAGTTCAGTCTTTTTAGTGTTTAAGTTCTGTTCAGTTTAGCTCAGTTCAGTGTGGTTTATCTGAGTTCTTGTTGAATGGTTTGTTTAAAGCGAAACTAGTGGTGTGTGAAATGCTCAGTTGTCGTGCATTTGGCTTCAGTCCAAATGTGTTGCTCTTTGAGCATGTTGTTCCTTGTTTGATGTTATTTTCACTTATTAAAGGTCATTAGGTTCTTTTAATTCTGGAAATTACAGTATATAACCAAGCAATATTTGAAATTCCTTCCTGATTTACACTTTTTTGTATGAACCACTTGTTAAAAGATGACGTTTATGACGTTCTTGTTAAATGACCTGTTGAAACTAGGTGTGTGTGAGATGCCTAAATGTGTGGTGCTTTGAGCATGTTTTACTTACTATTTTCATAATTTAAGTTGCTTTAAGTGTCAATGACAGATGAATCATTTATATATACAGTGCTCAGCATATATGAGTACACCCCTCACAAGTCTATCTTTAAATTTCATATTTTCATAGGAAGCTATACAATATTATATTTGTACGGATACATTAGATTAGTCGGTACTGAAGCCAAATCTGAAGCTTATGCAACAAAATAACGTACGATAAAGGTCCAAAAACTAGTAACCAACCAAATTTATATGTTAGAGAAAAATATTAAATACAAATTTTAAAAAGATGAAAAATTAAGAGAAGCAAAAAAATATAGATTTTTTTTTTTTTGAAATTTCGTAGGTTTATTTTATTCTTGCAATATTTCGCTTAAATTTAATTGTAAATAAATCTTTCAATTTCTAAAAATGTTTGGTGACTAAAATACATATATTTTTTTTATTTATCTGATTAATAAATCTGTTTTGTTTAATAGCACCAAAATACATTGCCTATATTCACTGAGAAATGGATAAAAATTTATTTTCAAAATGGGGTGAACTCAATTACTGTATGCCGAGCACTGTATATATATTTCACAAAGGGGCTATATATAAATAATATTTTAATATAAAATATTTAAATATATAATTATAAAATAAGAATGACACAGTGGCTCACTGTCACCTCACAGCTCATAAGATCCATGAGCCCGGGGCTCCCTCCTGTTTGCAGGGTGAGAGGGGAGTTTGAGCTCAGGTAGATCTCGATGAACTCCCCCCTTATTTAGAGCTGATGACAGATTATAAGTTGCTCTTCACTTATCACACATGCCTGTGGACTGTGGGGGAAATCTGAGAACTCGGGGGAAACCCACACGAGCACAGGGAGAACACGAAGACTCAGAAATGACAACTGGCCTTTTAAGCATTTGAACCAGTGACGTTCTTGCTGTAAGGCAACAGTACTAACCACTGGGCCACTATGCCGCCCTATAAAAGGAAAGATGAAGGAGTATGGTTGGAAGGGGCGGATTCTTCAAGGTGAAAATAACTAAAGTAAGACACTCTGGGTATTTATAGTTAGGAATCATCTGATTGGTGAATTATGTCTTAGCTAATGCGGCACCAGTCGTGATCAATCATAAGCATGAAATTAGTTTATAAATAGACTTCACAAAATTATTAGTTTTCCCTTTAATATTTTGACGTTTAATAGCATCAATACATATAATTCGTAATATATTGACATTAATATTCTTCATATTTTTACATTTTATACATGTTGCAAAAATTATCTTTAAAACGCCAATCTAAAAAATCTGAAAGTCACAGTATATAAACAGAGTTTATTTGAAACGCCTTTCATTTTAATGCAAGAGATTCCTGTGCCTTTGTGGTTAAAATTTAAAATGCATTTTGTCTTTTTTTTATCCCAGATGCTAAAGCCGGTTAGACACTTATTTCGCTCTCTGGTCGTTATGAACCTGTGGCATTACATTTGGTCATGTGGACTCTACAATCCTGGATCTGTGTTTGGGGTTTATGAATCTACATAGGCATTGGTTATTCAAGGTGAAACCTCTGATTTGGAGGGACATCTGTTTTCAGAGCTCGTGGATTGACCGTTCAAAGCGGCTCATGGTTAGTTTTAATGTCATGAGTGACAGAGGATTATATATTATGGGTGTAACAGGTTTAACTTTAATTTTAAAGTCACGTCAGTATAATTTCAAGTACAGAAGTGGGGGGAAAATAAATATGAAATTATTGTTCGTTTTTTTTGGTAGTTTTACTTAGCTTACTGAACAAGTTTAAATAAATACATTTATTTATTTATTTTAAATAAATGTAAACAAATACATTTTAAATAAATAAATACATTAAATAAATACAATTTATACAATTTAAATAAAATAAATACAATTTAAATAAATACAATTTATAAAATTTAAATACATTTAAATAAATACATTTTAGCTACAGTTTAATTCCAATGTCTCTTAAGGTTAAAAAAAAAAAAGTATTACAATTCAGGGCTCAACGATAAGGACTGCCCGATGGCCCGGGGCCAGCATGTGAGATGCTCAGGACAGTAGACAGTATCATTACTGGCCTGATTGGGCCAGTGCTGCCTTGTCACTAAAGTTTCATTTGCCTGCGACTTTTTGTCAGTTGCGTGCAAAAACAGTCTTAGAATCGAGAAACAGTTTGGGTTTTTAAGCCTTCAAATGTTACCTTCTCTGTGATGTCGTAAGCACTATATTGCTTTTCGGTTCCTCTTATCTGATTGCATGTTGTAAGCACGTTATTTTTTTTCCTCAACAACCAGTACAGCGAGACGGCTACATCAAATGCTGATGCTAAAAGAATATAACATACAGATATCATATTTATATGTCATATAAACATATTAAAATAAAATATGGTCATTATACAACAAATATACACTCACTGGCCACTTTATTAGGTACACCTGTCTAACTGCTCATTAATGCAAATTTCTAATCAGCCAATCACATGGCAGCAACTTAAAGCATTTAGGCATGTAGACATGGTCAAGAGGATCTGCTGCTGTTCAAACCGAGCATAAGAATGAGGAAGAAAGGTGATTTAAGTGACTTTGAACATGGCATGGTTGTTGGTGCCAGATTGGCTGGTCTGAGTATTTCAGAAACTGCTGATCTACTGGGATCTACACTTAAAATCAGGAAAGTACACAGGCTTACCGATATTGGACAATAGAAGATTGGAAAAACGTTGTCTGGTCTGATGAGTCTCGATTTCTGCTGCAACATTCAGATGGTCTGATGGTCAGAATTTGGCATCAACAACATGAAAGCCTGGATCCATCCTGCCTTTTATCAACAGTTCAGGCTGGTGGGGGTGGTGTAATGGTGTGGGGGATATTTTCTTGGCACACTTTGGGCCCATTAGTACCAATTGAGCATCATGTCAACACCACAGCCTAACTGAGTATTGATGCTGACCATGTCCATCCCTTTATGACCCCAGTGTACTCCTCTTCTGATGGCTTTTATCAGCAGGATAGTGCGCCATGTCATAAAGCGTAAATCATCTTGGACTGGTTTCTTAAATATGACAATGAGTTCACTGTACTCAAATGGCCTCCACAGTCCTCAGAACTCAATCCAATAGAGCCACTTTGGAATGTAGTAGAACGGGAGATTCGCATCATGGATGTGCAGCAGACAAATCTGCAGCAACTGTGTGATGCTGTCATATCAATATGGACCAAAATCTCTGAGGAATATTTCCAGTACCTTGTTGAATCTATCCCACAAAGGATTAAGGCAGTCCTTAAGGCAAAAGGGGATCCAACCCAGTACTAGTAAGGTGTACCTAATAAAGTGGCCGGTGAGTGTTTGTTTTCAACGATTGGAATAACAAATATGTACATATATGTTCAAATATATTCTATATTCATGTATGAACACATATATAAAATTATAGCTAATGTATTTGAACATATATATTGTAATTCCAATAACTGAAAACATGTAAATGACCATTTATTAAATATTTTGTAATGCGTCTAACATCTACAGTAGGACTATTTATATAAGTGAAAAACAAATATGAACTAGTACCTCATATATCTATAGTTTGCATACACAGCATTGCCATATATCAGATTTCTATGTGGATCTCTGAGTGTTTTTGACTGATGACTGTGCTTCTCTGTCTCAGGAACAAGGTTTTGAACATCTCGGATGGGCTGGATGAGCCGGGCGCCGTTAATTGGGAGCTGATGCTGTGCTTGCTGGCCGTGTGGGTGATGGTTTACTTCTGCGTCTGGAAGGGAGTGAAGTCCACAGGCAAGGTGAGAAGCTCAGTCTTTCTTTAGTGCTCCATATTAAACGTGTGAACTCAGTGTGAGGCGATGGCAGGTATAAGACGCACTCAGTCACATGGACAGCAGAGAATCACATCCCGTCACTGCATCTTAAGCTCAGTTACATAACACTGAGAACTTGCTCATGACCAGAACTGGAGAACACACTAGCTAAACTGACTGCAAGCAAATTCTTTGGGGAAAAAATCAAATATTAATGAAGTTATGAACAAAAAGAAGCCTACTTTTTTAAAAAGGAGGTGATATATAGATATTCCTAAAACTAGGAACTGGGACTTTTAAATATGAAAAATGCACCACGTTCATTAATAATTTGTTAGTCAAAACCTTTGAATTCAGCACATGCTCTCACGCGGAAATTGACTGTCTTGTGTAACCTTCCACAATATACCCCCCTCCCTGTGCATCTCATTATCATAACTCCACCCACCGCTGCACTATCACACTGGCACAGAACAGCAGCATTACAGTCCCTGCGGTGGCTCTGAAGGGACATATCAGAAAGTGCCCCGTCAGAGTGTGTGTGTCGTCGCTTACGAGTGTGTGTCTGCAGTGGGACGTGATCAGGTGCTCGTACTAGTGGCCGACAGCCATATATTCCCTCTCTCTCTCCCTCTCTTTCTCTCAGGGAGGCGGGATCATATGATGAGCATAATATAATCACTTCACTTTATTACTGCTGTATTAAAGGTCATGCTTGTATTATCAGCACACTTCACTGACGTTTGCTTATTACTGTACATTTTAAAAAGGGTCAAACAGAGAGTTATCAGCACATTTTCTTTGGTGTTTGATTAGATTAGGCATTGCAAATATTTTATGGCTTTTTAAATATGCAAATGAGCTTATTACTGTGTATTTAAATTGGGTAAAGCTGAGAGTTTTCAGCACACTCTCTTTGGTGTTTGATTGGATTAGACATTGCAACTATTTTATGGCTTTTTAAATATGCTAATTATTTTTTTGTTCTTGTTAAACATGACAGTTCTAACATAAAAATCTGAACTTTGGGTATAAAGTCACAGTGTATTTCAAAAATACTGAGAAAAAAGCTTTTTTTTTGTAGAATAAATTGTATAAAATCATGCTAATTATGTTTGAACCACTTGAGAAACTCCTGAATATAGATATAAATCATTTTTTAACAGTTGCGGAATTTGAAATTTATAGTAAAAATATGTATTGTAATTGAACAAATTTTTCAAGTACTATATTGCGGCTGGAACGGCATCTGCTGCTGGACACATGCTGGAATAGTTGGCAGTTCATTTCACTGTGGTGAACCCTGATAAATAAGGGACTAAGCTGAAGGAAACATGATAAAATAAACGCTTCAAAGTATATTTAGGGAGTTTTGTTTTTATTAAGGCTGATTTATACTTCTGCGTCAAGTGCACGTGTGTGGTCTGGCGCAGCTTTCGTACGGTCGCAGATGCCAGCGCCCACCTCTTAAAAAATGTAACTACATGTCACAACAACACAGTTGCGGAATAGGAGCTCAGTAGCAGTGACAAGTGTGGGCAGTTCTGAAATCCGGGAACCCGATGAAGCGAGTGTTTGCAAGTGTGGAGTCCCGTGAAGGAGCTCCAGATGGAAACTTTTGATTTGTGTTTGTACATTACGGTAGCGATCAGAAAATAAAAATAAAAAAACTGCGAAGAAACTCAACACTAATATAGGCAGGACAAGTTTACTTATATAGCACATTTCATTTCAAGTGCTTTACATAAACAAGAATAAAAGAAACAAGAAAATAAAAATGATTAAAAGAATTAAAAACAGATAAAAACCAATGAAAAAACAATGAAAAAGAAAAGAAAGAAAGAAAAAGAAAGACATAGCAATAATAAACAAAATAAAAATCTTCTGTCAGCTAGCATATTGGAAGAGGTATTGCAGAGTAACACAAGATGCAGAAGTATAAGTAAAGTTTCACAAACTAATTTCGAGAGGAGCACATGATATGATAAAGCACGACTGGCTTGTCATCTGTAATCAGTAATAATCCAATCAGAGTGATCCAAGCTTACTATAAATGGATCATTTTCTCCCTACCACTCTAACTTCGTTTTGGAAGAATCCCCCCTTCCACTCCATCTCCTCCTTTTCCTCCCTTTTCTAAGTGGGAGTTCTCGAGACCTACCTGATCTCGGATCCCCTTATATGCTTATTGACTTTATATGCTTGGGAGCCTTGGGCTCAAGTATCTCCGAGCTCAGGGTTCTCTCCCGGGACAGCATACCAAACCTGCTATAAACGCCAAGCATATCTAAGTGGGAACTCTTGAAATGTGTGACTACATTTAAGGCAGACGCCGTCAGTCACGCCGATCACTGCCTTAAGTCTGAAAAAAGAAAACACACCCAACTTTTTGCCTGCAGTATTTTGCGTTAAAATGATCAAAAGTGATCATATTTATTCACATATTTTTCAATAAAAGGTTTTTACAATATTCAAATAATCCTGACCAAAATGTATTATGGTTTCCACAAAAAGTATATATATATATATATATATATATATATATATATATATATATATATATATATATATATATATATATATATTATTATTATTATTATTATATTATATTATATTATATTATATTATATTATATTATATTATATTATATTATATTATATTATATTATTATATATTAAATCATATATTTATATATATGATTTAATATATAATAATTATAATATTTAATAATAAATAAAACAAAAAATTTAAATATATGCATATTAAGTATTTTCTTTTTTATTGCAGTGTGATTTATTACTGCAATTTTATGCTACTTTTATATTTTGATTTTGGTTGTATTTGTTTTTGTTTCTATCTGAGTTTAAGAAAAGTTTATCATAAATTATACATATTATTAATAATTTCTAGAGTAATGATTCTGAAAATTCAGTTTTGTGTCGCAAACATAAATTACATTGTTAAATACATTAAGTTTGAAAATAGTTATTTTATTTCTAATAGTATTTACAAATGGGCAGCACAATGGCTTAGTGGTTAGCACTGTCACCTCACAGCAAGAAGCTCGCTGATTCGAGTCTGTTTGCATGGGTTTCTTCTGAGTGCTCCAATTTCCTATAGGTGAATTGAATAAACTAAATTGGCCATAGTGTATGTGTGTGAATTTGAGAGTGTATGGTTGTTTCCCAGTACTGAATAATAAAAATAAATGTTTTCCGCTGGATAAAACATTTGTCGGAATAATTGGTGGTTCATTCAGCTGTGGCGAACCCTGATAACTAAGGGAAAAACCAGCCGAAAAATAACGCATAAATAAGCTGAAGGAAAATGAATGAATGAATGAGTTTTATTATTTATATTATATAAACATATCACACATATATTGTCACAATAAGCATAAGACTGACCATTACTGGAAAATAACCTGATTATTACTGTATCAAAGGCCATGTTTCTATCACCAACACGTATCATTAACGTCTGCTCTGTTATCAAAACGCAGGTCGGTTTGTAGTAAACAGTTAAAGAAGGTAAACTCTGTGGAAAGTAGGTCACTCTAACTCATATTTAGTTGCCAACTTGTGTTTTTCCTTCATAGTCTTTCATTGATGGAAAGGACAGAGTGAGTAAACGTTGAGTCAAGCTCATTCAGACAACTAACGCATACACACACACACACAGACTCACACACATAGACAATAAGCCAGTGTTACAGTGAGCTAATTGGCTATTTGGGAATCTGATTATTTATTACGGGGCAGCAGATTACCCCAGATTCACTGGCCTGATGGGAATTAGAGCCCAGTTTTGTTTACTGGCTGTATTTTTAGTTCAGGTCTATTTCTGCATCTTTATTGACACTTGATGAGTATTGGATTAAATACGGAGATACTTTGATTCGTATTAATCAAAATGGATAATGCTGACTCTATTATTGAAGCATACACTTTAAAGAGGGCCTATTATGCCCCTTTTTACAAGATGTACAATACTTCTCTGACTGTCAAATGAGATATATATATACATATTACACGAGTAGCAGTGGCTATATATCAGCACTGGTGGGAGCCGTGTGTTGGCACAAGACTGCAGTGATGATATACAGCCATATCGCACTGCTACTCATGTGATATTGTGTTTATACAATAGTTCGACGGTTTAATCATGTACAGTTGAAGTCAGAATTATTAGCCCCCCCTTTGATTTTTTTTTTCTTTTTTAATTATTTTCCAAATGATGTTTAACAGGGCAAGGACATTTTCACAGTACTGTATGTCTGATAATATTTTTTCTTCTTGAATAAGTCTTATTTGTTTTATTTTGGCTAGAATAAAAACAGTTTTTAATTTTTTAAAAACCATTTTAGGGACAAAATTATCAGCCCCTTTAAGCTAAATTTTTCTTTTCGATAACCTACAGAACAAACCGCCATAATACATTAACTTGCCTAATTACCCTTACCTGCCTAGTTAACCTAATTAACCTGGTTAAGCCTTTAAATATCACTTTAAGCTGTATAGAAGTGTCTTGAAAAATATCTAGTCAAATATTATTTACTGTCATCATGGCAAAGATAAAATAAATCAGTTATTAGAAATAAGTTATTAAAACTATTATGTTTAGAAATGTGTTGAAAAAATATCTCTGTTAAACAGAAACTGGGGGAAAAAATAAACATGGGGGCTAATAATTCAGGAGGGCTAATAATTCTGACTTCAACTGTATATAAAAAAGAAAATCAAACACGGAAATTCTAAAAACCCTTTTGTATGGGAAACTACTTTCTTCCGCCATTCATTCACATCTGCAGCTGACGTCAGAACAGCAGAAGCCGTTACTAATTCACAAACATCACTTTAGAGCTAGTGCTTTAATGATTTTCTAGCATAATGTCTAAAGTTATGACAAAACAGCTGATTTTGCTGACATTTTAAGATTATAAGGCTGAACGTGACATGAAATGCCATCCATCTACAGAGATATCTCCTTACAGTATTACAGTCTACAGAATTTCTCTGTTGCAATCAGGATATCACAATAATTTACCCGAGAAAAGCTAGAATGCTGTTGTGTTAGTGATAGGGAAAAACGGTAAACACATGTGGGCCTTTCTTCTTTCTTTCTGACAAAACAACACACATTCCTGATATGCGAGTCCCATCTCACACTCAATTCACTACAGTTATATGTTATAGATACAGCGCTACAACATACGAAGAGAGAGATCGACTTAGAATATCACTTATTAATTTAATAATGATTTGATTTTAATCTTTTAAGGGCTTATTATACCATTATTATGCCATCTTGTGGATAGACAACATCAACCGGTCTGCTCAGTCTGGTCTCTCAGAAATTATAATTATTATAAAAAGCCTTAAATGTACATTATGTTGTCCAACAGCTGCAATATTTGTCGTTGTAGTGTGTCCTCTCTCTCTCTCTCTCTCTCTCTTTATATATATATATATATACATACAGGATAATAGAATATAAGTATAATAACGTTAATTTAATTATTATTAATTTTTATTGTAAATGTTGTTATAATATATATATATATATATATATATATATATATATATATATATATATATATATATATATATATATATATATATATATATAATTACAATAATAATTACATTAATATTATTATCTTATTATCCTATTATTATTATTATTATTATTACTATTATACTATTATCCACATTTATGTCAAAATGTCTTCAGGTGGGAACTGAAATGAATGCTGTGTTGTTTTAATATGATGAGCTTGATCTAGAGCGCCTGTCCTAGTTTTCTCTGTGTCTATGTGGAGCACAGTTACTGAAGCTGCAGGCCAGGTCTATAAACCAGCAGCTAGACTCATGTAAATGCTCACCGATAACAATCTTATTATCAGAGCTCAAAGTACAGAGCGTTTGGAGCCGCCGTCGCTGCTGCTGAATCAATAAAACTTTCCTGTCTGAAGAAAGAGTGATAATATGAGAGAGAGACGTGAGCTTCATGCTTCTCTTCATCCACATGACAGAAGCACAACATGTGACCGAGACTCAGATAAACTCCTGATACAAATCTGATCATAATATTGGCTGGAAAGAGATTATAGGGCTTTCTGTGATTGGTCCAGCAAATGCTCTTTATCGCATGTAAACGACTGCTCCAACAAGGACTTTTAGTAATCAAGGAAAATAGCATATTATTGTCAGAAATCTGATTTAGATATTTTCTAACATCACAGAAACTGTGTGGTGCTTTCTTGTGCAAAAACATGCAAGCATGTTGTGGATGGTTGCCCGGGCCTTTCAGTGTCATTGCAAGGGTGCTTTAGTAAATCTGTTTTTTCTAAAAAGAAGAAATAAAAGACCATCTTAAATTAAGATACATTTTAGTTCGAAGTGACATAGTAAAATAAGACACAATAAAATGTCAATAATTGCTTCAACAGTACTAAAATATTACTTATTAACACTTGAGTTAAATGTCAATAAATAAAGTATCATTAGGGGTCGATTATCATTAAGGGTGTGATCGGCCCTCAATGATACTTATGATCCCCTAATCATAATGCGCTTTTTGTTTCGCTAGGAATGACTGAATCAGCTGGGTGTTGTGCGCTAGTGTTGCTGTTGATATTGGTATAATTTTGATATTTAATAATGTTGCGATATTCAAGATTTGTAAAGTCATGCAGCACCAGATACTCAAAACAGCAGGCACAAGTCTCTCCTTCATCTTTACAAATCCCGCAAAACATTTCTGGCCATTAGTAACTCATTTTAAAAAAGGCACCTTTCAAACTAAAAAGCGTGTTTGGTGTGATCGGCCCCTACAGTGATTTATTTCTTATTTAACATTATTAATAAAAATAAAATTGATTAATTAGATTATTTATAACAATACATGGTAATAAATCAGTATTTGTTTAAATGTATTGAAATAAATATTTATTGAAACAATTAATGATTTATTTTTTAAAAACTTTACAGTATTTTATATTTTCTTTTTTAAATATTTCCCAAATTATGTTTAATAGAGCCAGGGATTTTTAATGATAATATTTTTTCTTCTGGAGAAAGTCTTATTTGTTTTATTTCTGGTAGAATAAAAGCAGTAACTAATTTTTTAAACACCATTTTAATGACAAAATTATTAGCCCCTTTAAGCTAATTTGTTTTCGATAATCTACAAAACAAACCGTCATTATACAATAACTTGCCTAATTACCCTAACCTGACTAGTTAGCCTAATTATACTAGTTAAGCCTTTAAATGTCAGTTAACAGAAATGAGTAATTAAAACTATTATGTTTAGAAATGTGTTGAAAAAATCTGCTCTCCGTCAAACAGAAATTGGGGGAAAAAATAAACAAGGGGGCTAATAATTCAGGGGGTCTAATAATTCTGACTTCAACTGTATGTATATATATATATATATATATATATATATATATATATATATATATATATATATATATATATATATATATATATATATATATATATATATATATTTATACAAGACATTATTTTTTATTAAACCATGATGATAAACCTTTAAAGTATGTGTGATCTTTATTTCAGTATGTTGTTCTACTTTCAACTGATACGGATTATTGAGTAGGTGGCAGGCCTTGTTTTTTTTGCGCATCATTCCTTCATAGCAAACTAACGGTAAAAGGGATGTAGTTAAAAATATAGTGGCTGAAGCGTTAAACTGAAATTATCAGAGAAGGTCTGCCCCTCCAAACGTGAAGCAAATGGTTCGAATTTGATTGAAGATTATCATTAAACTTTTAAACTTGCATGGAATCATTTATCAACTTTAATAATAACATTGTGCTCCAACAAAAATTGTAAATTCAGTGAGTCAACAGTGAGTTATCAGTAGGCCCACACGGAATCTGCACGTGCAGAATTCCGCAGATTTTCTGCAGATTTTTAGCCCATCATTAATTCTGTTTATTTACTTGAGTAAATGTGTAAATCGGAATTAATTACGTTTTTATTCAGTAATTTATTACTTTTTATTACATATATTAAGGTTTTAGTTATGATACTCCGCTGGATACTCCCAAAATAATACCATAATTCTCTGCAGAAAAAGCAAAAAACGTCAGCAGATTCCGTCTGGCCCTGGTTATCAGTCATGAAAAATCACTGAACAGTCTTCATTATTTTTGTCTTTTTAACAGATTGTGTATTTCACTGCCACGTTCCCGTATGTGGTCCTGATCATCCTGCTGGTGCGAGGCGTCACTCTGCCCGGCGCTTATGATGGCATCCTCTACTACGTCAAACCAGACTGGTCAAAACTCGGAGAAGCACAGGTGAGACCTTTACCTTTCTTTACCCCTTTTTATTATGAATTTTTAAATGATTTTGCGGATATAGATTTTTTTAAAATGTTGTATTGGTGTTGATCATTTAGAATGCTTCATGTATCAGATATGTGATTCTGGAAATTATGTTTTTTTTTTTCAGAAAATTATTATAATATTAATATAAAATATTATAATTTTGTCATAACTTAATTTTTAATCATAACTACTACATTTTTAATCAATAATGTAGTAAATATTGTCCTATGCTAAGAAGTATGCATCAACAAAAAGCTATTTTATTGAATTTTCAGATAATCCATAAATCTCCAAAAATGTGGAAACTTATTACTAGTCATGTTGTCTAGGGTTGGCTTTATTGGATAAACTACATGCTTTCCTGTTTTCTTTTACATAAATTACAGAGCCCAATAATTCTTGAAGTCAAAAATAAATAAAATGATTAAAGATTGCTGTAAAAACTGCAAAAACACACAAGAAATAAAACATATTGCGTCAAATTTTGACAAGAGTTCGCAAATTCAGTCTTTTTATGCCACAAAAATCCTGCAGGGACTGATTCAGATGCACTACACTCTTTATCAGTCTCTCTCTCTCTCTCTCTCTCCACATCATTTGAGCTTTTCGAAGCACTTGAAAAGTTTTCAGCTCGACCTGGAGTGCAGTAATGACTTGTGCTTTATGTCTCCCAGGTCTGGATCGATGCCGGCACTCAGATCTTCTTCTCTTACGCCATCGGGCTCGGGGCCCTGACGGCCCTAGGCAGCTACAACAGATTCAACAACGACTGCTATAAGTGAGTCTCAATCACAGCCTTCAGCATGCTAGGACAGCCACTGTTATGACGTCTTGCAGACCTTCTGTTTTCTTCCAGACAGACATTGTGTCTAGTGCTTCCACTATCAGAAAAGCCTGACCTTGTCTTCTGAGAAGCTGGATTTGAGTGATGTGTCCGGCAGAGAGCAAACAGTCTCTCACTGTAATTGCAGATCTCAGATGTCCTGGATGCATTAGCTTACCCTTGCAATAAATCAGCAGTTCTTTCATTTGACGTTAATGTACAGTGCACTTTGGCTGCTTATAAATCCTGTGTAAATCAGCAGCATAAGAGATTCGTGAACATTTGTTCAAAAAAGTGAATAGTTTTTGGTGAGGTAAAGAAACTTTACACAAAAGAAATGGATATTACATATAAAGAAAAGTCACCCTGGAGCTGGGTGTGTGTGTACATACAGTGGGAAATAAAGTATTCTACACCTCATGTTGCTGTTGACGTGGAATTGAACCAGATATTGGTAAAAACCCAAACAATACAAACAAAAATAAAACAAAAACTGCTATGTGTTTTAATGAAATGACAGAAGGAGAAAGTGCTGAACTACTGAAATTTCTGTAATACTTTAATTAAAAGATTTTTCATTGATGGCAGCTTAAAGACGCCTCTCATATGGAAAATGAAGTTGCATGAATTGCTCAGGTGTGATTGTTTTCACAAACTTCAACAGAGTGTAAAAATCTTGATGGTTCTGTGGGTCTCGTCTATCAAATCTGATTTTTGTATTTTCTATTGCAGTGGTTCTCAAACTTTTTTTTATCAAGTACCACCTCAGAAAAAAAAATTGTCTCTCCAAGTACCACCAAAATGAGCAATTTTTACAATTGTCGGCATCCTGCGTTTTGGTGCATTACCCCCACCTTCAGCTTGGGAGTGTGAATTTACAGACTAAAGTAATGGACACTACTTGAGTATGTACTGCATTTGAATTAGAATTTACTACACATCCATATGGAAGTATGTGATTTCGGATGCAGTCATGCAGTACGTCACATTGCGCACTTCATTGTGCATGTCAGTGTATACATAATATCACTGCGATACAGGCCACAGCGAGGACTATTTGAATTGAACTGTTAATAATATAATATTAAGATAATATTATTAGGCATTTTAACATTCCCTATTGAAACATCTACTATGCGTTCTGTAGTTTTCCTAAAACACAACTGATCTCTCTGTTTCTCTTCTCCACACAGGGATGCTTTTGTTCTGGCGCTTATTAATAGCGGCACCAGTTTCTTTGCTGGTTTCGTGGTTTTCTCCATCTTGGGTTTCATGGCGTCTGAACAAGGTGTGGACATCTCGAAAGTGGCAGAATCAGGTAAGAGTCTGCCGTCGTTCACTCCATTACAGCTCATGACAGATTATGTACTGTATGAAATGGTAAGATCAGCTAATGTACAGATTTTTAAAAAGTGTGCGGCATCCAGCCCTGATCCTGAAACAGCGTGCATCTTAATGCAGGTGTTTAATAATTCACTTTGACTTGTTTCTAATGCTCATAAGTGAATGCATTTGTGACCTGGGGCTGGTTCTCGTCAATCATTTATGAAATCAATATTTAATGCAAGAATGATCTGCTGACATTGAATGAAACATGCATTGTGTGAGTCATAAACATCTGTGAAATGATGATGATGATGATGATGATAGTCTAAAGTAATGAATTTCAGTGCAGTGTGATATGTGGCTTGTATCGTGTTTTACTGTAAATGTTTATTGCTGCTTTGACAATATCAATGAATGTAGAATATAAATGATTATTAGGTTTATTGATGATGCCATATGCTCTTAGTCATATCACTATAAAGGGAGCAGACAATTAGCACTTTGTTTTGTGCGTGTGTGTGTGTGCGTGTGCGTGTGTGTGTGTGTGTGTGTGTGTGTGTGTGTGTGTATGCGTACATGTTTTATGTGTGTTTATGATGATGAATAATAGATAATGTATATCACTCGTGTTTTTAGTTGAGTGGGATTGTATGTGTTTGTTTGTGTGTCTATGTGTGTGTATGTTTGTGAGTTTCCGCTTTTAAAATGTGTATTGCCTTATTTCTGTATGTTCTCCATCAACACAAATATTTTATAAGACCTACAAAATTCCCTGATTTGCACACACAAAATCAAAGATGTTGTAAAGGTCTAAAGTTGAACTCTATTGTTAAGTTTATATTGATGATAAGATTTATCTATTAGTAATATGTATGATATTGAAATTATTGCATTGATAGGAACCAGTTCAGCTCTAGACAATATGAATATGAATGAAGTACATTTGGGTCACATTTGAAAAAGGCATCAAATTTTGATGTCAAAATTAAAATTGAAAAAGAATTTACACACACAAAAAGTTGTTTTTAAAATTAAAAAGGATAGTAGCAAAGTATAACATTAAAAATTGTGATTAATAAATATTTTGGGGTTGCACTGTGATCCTAAGATAGAGTTTAATATCTTATCTAATGATTCTTGTATTAAATGATTCTGGGCCGGATCATACACCCAGCGCAATAAAGCGCAAGACGTGTTTTGAGCGATTTGTTGCTATTTTGAGACTAGTGCAACCCTAATTTTCACGTTTTGCGCCATGTTGTTTAAATTGCATATCCATTTGCGCCACTTCTCATGGGTGTGCTGGTCTATAAAGGAGGTGTGTTAAGGCGCATTGCTGGTGCGTTGCTATTTTGAGGAACTGAAAAAGATCGTACTGTTGACTAACTGAAAGCAGGTCTGAAGACCAGCACAGAGCGCGTTAGTTATGCACCTATGCTGGTCTAAACGCTTACACATTGCTTAATACACACAGAATGTACAGCAATACACAAATATATTTACATATAAAAAAAAAAAGTTTTAAATGTTATAAAAATTATTATTTTTTACATAAATATAAAAACCACTGCCTCCATGCCTCATCTCAGGGGGCTTTTTCAGTTTATTCATGACAATTTGCATTTGGATAATGTTATTATTTTTATCAGTATTATTTATTATATGCATATTTATAATTGTTTTAGACCATATGGGGCATAAGAATAGAACGTGTGTTTGGATATAACTCCATATTGGTTATTATTGTTCATTTATTTGTTTGCTGGAAATTAGAACTGAATTTAAAAATTGTTTAGAAAGAAATATTTGCGTTTAACAAAGGAAATATGGGGTGCTTTCACACTTGTGAATCGATTTAGTTTCAAAACCAGGATTACAATTGGTATATTGTTGCTCTTTGCTCTTGGTGCGGTTCGCTTTCACATGGCAACGTTTATAAATGGACCAAAAGAGCTAAAATAAGTCACGTGTGAGTAAACTCTCCTCACATTGGTCAGAGTGTCAGGGTTTATTTTGCTGAGTCCTGGTCAGCTGTCAGGGGGGGGTGGTGGTTTGGTGGTGTTTGACAGGGTGCGTGCGACATGTCTATAGAGCAAGGAGGGATGTGGAGAGGTGAAAAGGGTGTGCGACGTATTTGAGGACCAGGAAGGAGACGTGTGATTTCCGGGAGATTATCACTTGTTTGCGGGCATCCGGGAGTCTCTGTGCATTTGCGGGAGACTCCTGAAACTTCCAGGAGACTTGGGATGTCTGGAATAACCTCCCTCCCGCCCTACTAATAATTCTCTCTTCATATAGCCGTATGCCTATTACATATCCATAAAACACTGTGATATAACTGAGCTTGGATCGTATCGCTTTCTCACCACAATCGATCCGCTACAGAGTTCGTTTTTAATCGAGCCGAGACCACCTCATTCAAGCAATCTCGGAGCGATTGATTTGATTCACACAGGCCAAATGAACCGCGCTAACTGGGCAAACGAGACAGATTCTGAAACAAAAGTCTAAGTGTGAAAGCACCCTAAATATGTAGGCTAGTGGATGTCTTTAGTAGAGTGCGTACAACACTGTTTCCTTATCCATGAAAGTAAAGAACTAAAAGTAAAGTAAAGAGAAAGTAAAGAGGCCGAATGGAGGAGGCTTGTTCTTCATCCTCGTGCTGTAGATGCTCTGTTTAACTATATTCTGGCTAGTGAAGCATTCAGTTTTTCCTCTTACAAAGTCCACGATATACAGTAAGTGGCAAATGCGCCATGGTGCGACGCAACTGACTCTTAAAGGGAACATGAGATGAGACTCTGATTAGTTTAATGCACGTTATGCTTAAAACACACCCATAACTCATTAAGAGAATAAGCACAACCCTGTAGACCATGCGCCATGCACAGAATCTATTTTTCTGTCCTTAAAATAGCAAAAGTGCATTCAGACACACCCTTAAATGCTTTTTGCGCCCTGCACTTTAGACTTTGTGCCTAGATTGTTAAAACAGAGCCCTCTGTCTTTGACCCATGAAAAACCTGGTTTAAAACCTCACAGGTCTTCATTTAATAAAACCTAGAATACAATCTTGATCATTGATAACAGAACTGAGGATATCACAGACTGGGCTATGGCATTCAGCATGAATTTAACACTCCGCATGTTCATATCTGACGCTCACGCATGCAAACGTGTCAAATCATCACACATAGGCCTACATCTTTCACATTTAATGTGTGAATAGCAGACGTACTGCAGGCTTTCTGTCGCTTATAGCACGAATGCATAACATGTACATTTGACCCTGCTACAAGATACACACTAGATTAAAACAAAATTAAATATATACACACATGCCTTTAAATGCACATTATAAACAAATTCAAATTTCCAAATGTTTTACACTGGTTTCATCAACAATAGCGAGGATGACTATTAATAATTATTAATGTTTTATTGTTGTAAATATAACAGATCATTGATGTCAAACATTGAGTTGTTTCTTTGTAATTATGTAACCTTAAATAGCAATTTCTGAGTGGAAATTGTGTTAGACTGTATATATACTGTATATATTCTTTTCTAGGACACATTAATCTGACTTATATATTTTTTTTGGTGACATTTAAATGCTTTAAAACTTTGCAAAGAAATTAATCTCAGTAAAGGCTTGCTAAAATTATTATTTCTCCGAAATTACGATTTTTTTAAATTTAATCAGAGCAGCCTTTTACAATCTCATCTTGCAGTCTAAAGGTGGATTTTTCAAATAGATTTTAGGGATGAACGCCACCGAAATGTAATCCACTGATATTGTATTCAGTTAAAGCTGTTGACATATCGGCAATAATATGAAAAAGGCATCTACTGAATATTACAGATTGATTCATGAATTAGATTATGTCTTTTGAATAAGCTATCCTATTTCTCAGACCCACGTGTGGATGTTTCCCAGTACTGGGTTGCAGCTGTAAGGGAATCCGCTGCGTAAAGCATATAGTTGGTGATTCATTCCGCTGTGACGACCCCTGATAAATAAGGGACTAAGCCGAAGGAAGGAATGGAGTTTCTTAGAGCCAAAATCGCTAATGCTTAGATAAAAAGACATCTAATATGTACAAAATGTCAGATGTGCAAAGAGAAAGTAGCTGGTTTGCACCATGGCTCAAGCGCTGGCACAAAAACATTATTTAGTTTGTGCTAAAAAAATGGATGGCACATTCTAAATATTAAAAAACAAGAATCTGAGATTGTCATATTGTAATTTTTCTATCTTAGCTTGTGCCTCTCTTAAAATGTTGGACTGTTAAATGGTAAAAATGCTAGTATTGTAAATGCTAGACTATTATCGGTATCGATATTATATTATATTATAAATATTTTTATATTATATATATAATTTTATATTATATTATAAAACATAATTATATTTTTTTTATCTGTATCGGCAAAAAATAAATGCCACCTTCATGGCATCTTTAATAGATTTAATTACAGAAATTAGCACTATTTTAAACAGTATTTGCTATACAAGTAATGTTAATACTTCAATAAAAAATCCAGATTTATTGACTCGTCAACATATTATCTACATGCATGTTCATTTAACAAAACAGAACAATCATAAAGAATCTTTGAGGCGTTAAATGTGACTTTGTAAATGAACGTCAACATTAAATAAAAAAAATAAACAATTTAATATGAATTAGATAGAAAAAAAAGCTTGTTTCAGTGTAGACCGAGTAGTCTCTGAGCTGCAGTTGGAGGTAATGGTTTTGCTTTTTCTCCTGCATGCTTCATTAGTGCTGTCGGATTGAGCGTGCGGCACAGAAGCAGTGCACTGGTTTGTTGAGGCTTCAGTAAAGGACAGCATGTCCTTAGCCTGAAGGAGAGACTGCACAGTCGACGACAACACTAAATGAGTATGAAGAGATAATATTTTTAAATGACCTGGCAAGACGCCATGCACCGACCTTAAACAAAGTGACCACGGTGTCCTTGAAATTA